TGGGTTTTAAATTGCAAGGTTACGAAGCTGAACATAGATAGTCGTAAACTCAGAATTGAGTTGACCGTTAAACACCGATTATAAAATAAATTACAATTACGTGATGAAAGCGCATTAAAGCTTGTTCAATGGTAGAGCGAAGAAATTATCGAGAGATTTCAGCAAACTTTCGTTTAGCAACCAATCGTATCAGCAACCATTTATGGCTTTCAACTTATTTAAATTCCTATTTCCTCATCCATAAACACGATTTTACAGGAATCTCGATAGCCAGAACTTGCAATGATTTAATCGGCTGAACTAGGAGGCCAAGAACAACGCAGTTATTTAACTTGTTTGAAGCAGTTATTTGCCCAACGTGGATAGTTTCTCCATCTTGAATGAAGACAGCAGCTTGAAAAAATTGCAGTTGTCGTAAAACAGGAATAACCTGTTGTCGAAGGAATTTATTGTAACCCGCTCACTCGAGACAGAGCACGTTTTAGGATTTAAAAAGTAAGAGGCTAAAAAAAAGGAAGAAAAAAAAACGATTCAAGGATAAACAGAATGCAGTGGTTGTTTGTTGGTACAGGACGTGGAGAGGTGAAGTATCCCATACGCGAAAATTTAGAATCCATCTGAAGAATAGTACGCCTCATATGATTATAGAACTTGCCAAGAGCACGTGTTACCAACTTCCTTTCTCGGCAAAAATTAGCAAGCAAATTTAGAGCTTGTTTGGTCAACACCTCCTAGAAGTAGAAAGGCCTCAGCACGGATCAATTCAGTAGTCCGATGAGACGAAGTTAACTGCGCAGGAGACGAAAAATAAGAAAGTTGTCATTACGTTAAGGGTACTAAGCTGCGCAGTGGTTGAAAATACAAAATATGTCATTACGTTTGGACTACTAAGGGATATTTATGGTAACCCGTGCTGAGGCCTGTTCTTTCTAGGAGGTGTTGGTTTGGTGCTCTTGAGATATCAGAATACCTCGCTGTTCTTGTACGGAAACCATTTTTAATTGAATCACAGAATTCTTCCGACTGTCGACAATGGAATCGCTGATTTACGTGAGCACTTGTTGAAGAAAAAAAGGAAGAGGAAGCTTATTCAAACGCAGCAGCCACCGCTTCTTCAGACCTTAATAAACATATACATACGAAATCAGGTAGTACAAAACTATTTTTGATATCTTTTTCCAAACGTATTTGGATTTTTGAATACGCAATTATCGGGTAGCCGTGATCTGGAGAGTATGTTTTTAATAGAGTATTCAGGAGATCAGTCGAAAGTTTGCACCCTTTGATGTTAATTTCATTTTTACGAATTTCGCCATATCTCGGGAAGTTTTCAAGAGGAAATTTCTAACTCATAATTAGTAGATTTGTTTACCCGAGGATAATTCCACAGTAAAAATAAAATTTTATTAATCATTTATTATTTTATAAAATAATGGTCAAAAATTTTTTACATTTTAAATTACGAAAAATTTTACAACATTTTAAGTTATGCAATTACAAATAAAAAAAAAAGCTTAATTGAAAGAAATCGGTCGAATATTTTCTATATAATAGAATTTCGTAAAAGTCATTTCTTAAAATTTTATTTCTTAAGAGCTATTCAAATTATTTTGTTTATATCTAGGATTTTGTCATTTAAAATAGTACAATTTAAAATTGTGAGAATTTTCATACAATCAAGGCTTTATTTAGAAGTTTTTTTGGGTGAGATCATTGGCGTCTTATCTCTTAATTTCTGATAAAACTAGGTCGTTTGTATTCGGAAATAAAAACAACATGACAAGAGTTTGAAAATTGTTTTTCTAAGTGGCAAGGAAGGAATTATATTTGCTGAGAAAGATAAAAAAAATGATGAAATGAATGCCTGAAGAGATAATTATGCTTATTTTTTTATTACTATTAAGTAAAACACTTAAATAAAGGTGTAATATTTATGTTTCCGAAAAAATTGAAAAGATTAAATTTCGTAAAAATGATAAAAGGGCAGAGAAAATCCGTCAGGAAGGAAAACATTTTGGAAGCTTCCAGCGACCTCCTGCGGCCTGATGATAAACCAACGATGGCCCTGGGACCGACGATTTATGAATTATATAATTTGAAGTCACGCTTCTTAATCATGAAGCTTTGCATTTTTATGAGAAAATCCGAAAATTAGGCACAAGTTATTCAAAGTTATATCTTTTTCTTTATTATTCTTTCTTTCATTTTTTTCTGTACTCTGCATGCTACATCCATCCGTCATAATCAAAATCAGGATTTGTACATCCCTGACTATTATATACCAAATATAAATAAATCTAAATTAACAAAATAATAGTTAATATTAAAAAGTTGCTGCATGAAAAGGTGTTAAAATCATGTTCACCTATGTACGTGTATGTATGTGGTAATTTTTTATAATATCATAGTTTATTGAATTAAGAGTAACTTTTCAATTTATTTCAGAATGTTCTAGAAAATCAAAAGTACAAAACTATATATAGCTGTCATAACTTAGCTGTCATAAATGACCTCAGACAATATTCTAAAAATTAATTTAAAAAAAAATAAAGCTTGAATGAAAATTAAATCATATCACAAAAATAATAATAAAAATAATTGAAAAAATATGAATAATTAGGTTTAATTGAGTTTATAAAAATAATTAGGTTTGCGAGATCCTTTCTTTTTTGAACTTTTTAAGAGATTACCTACTTTACCAACTTTACTATTCTTTCTTTTATCCTATTTTTAATTTCCCTTTTATTTTTATTCATTTAAAAAATTATGTTAAAATAAAAGATCAAAATTCTGGTAGATTCGACGTTATTTTTTTAGTGCATTTTTAAAAAGGTACTTACCAGGAAATTTAATTCTTCTTAAACTAGGTTACACGATGTTCAAATTGTACGTGAACATGGTATAATTTTACAACTTATTAAAATTGCAGAAAATGTGTACAATAGTATGTTTCGAAATTTCGATATTAAGGTTCAACTTTGATCCACTTTTCTGTAATTGGAAAAAGTTAGCTTATTTTGGGCATAAATATATCATCAGATTTTGTGATCAATTTCTTTTCTATCTGATATAGATAAAATACAAAAATGCGTGTTTTTGATAAAAATATTTTTTTTTAGTTTAGTAATTGCAAAATGCAGTTTCAGTGTCTAACACAAATTTAAATTTGTATGCATAAACAATTAAATAAAGTTATTAGAGTTTAATCAACCACACCAAACAATAAAAAAACTCATGAAAGCTTTAAGCTGAAATCTTATTTCAGCATGTATTTTTTAATTGCAAAGTTTTTGCATACTTTAAGATTTTAAAGACAACTTGTTTAATTAAAATAAAAATGGAAGAAACTGTTATATTTTGTTTCATTTGTTAAAAATACCAAAAACTTACATACGAAATATTTATTCATAAATTTTATTAAACATATTATTACAAAAATATTATTAAGCGTTTAAAAATTAAGGTAGACAATAAATAAATTTCTGAGCTATATTTAAAATAATAATGCTATTTACAGAACAAAATGTTTTCTATACAAGTCAGCATAATTAGTTATAGATGAATACTAAGTATATAGAATTTGTATACAATGTAAGACATATTAAAATTCCTTATATCTTAAGAGAACAATGACTTGGCAATGGCACTGAATTCAAATTGCAAGATTATTATATTAAGTAGGGCAAGTAATGAAGCATTTTAATAAATTCGTAAAAAAAAATTCTTAAAAAGGAAGTTTCTTACGAATACGAAATAAAATCCCTCAGAATGATTCGAGTTAAAATACAAATTCAAGTTCAAGTTACTGAAAATATTCAAGCTCACGCTTTTGCATGAAATATAATGAAATGAAACGTTTAACTATTTAAAATGCTAAATCAGTAGTGGGCAATTCCGTTTTTACGGATGTAACATTAGTAGACTTTAAATGAGTATAACTTAAATTAAAAATTATCAAATACTTGTAATATCTTCCGTATGGATAACACTTGGAGTTCTCTGTACTTGTTCCGGACCTTTTTAACTTCCGTGATTTTCTTTTATTAAAGAAAAGCTATTGTTATAGTAACGTAACTCACACAAATGTCAAAGATGCACAATCGACAATTTGCTTATAAATTTCAATGAATTATACCAATTTTTTTAAATAGACATTTAGGAGATTACAAATTTTTTACAAACATTTAAGTTTAAAAATTGCAACTTTCAATAATTATAAAAATCACTATCTAATTTTTTCCGCACGAAACACACTATCATTTTAAATTATGAAATACAAAATGGATCCCGAAAATACATGAAATGTTATAAGAGGAAATTTACTTACAATTAATAATAAGCAGTCTAATGATTTCAAGAACATATTTAGGAAAATATAACTAGAAAGAATTTAATTAAAAATTTTTTGAACTAAACAAATACTTTTTATACCCTTCTTTTGTAAAAGAAATAATTACATGCTGACAGTAAAATAACTTACCTACCCAATGAAGCCTATTAATCTAATTAGGCTCCCTATTTTCAATTATTAAAAAAGACTTTCCATAAAATATATAATACTCCACAAATTTCATGATAATAAAAGCTCTTACAACAGAAATTTAAAAATATAAAATATAAAATTTAATAAAAACTTAAAGAGTTCTTCCTTTGCTAACTATATATTGTAAATTATTTATGTACAAAATGCATTGAATTATAAAGTTTTTGGTTTGTCTTTAAAGTAAGCCTTTTAAAGTAAAAATGATTTAAAATTCGTAAGCATTAATTTATTTAGTAATTATTTGAAATACATTTTAACATTATAAGCATAATTACTGATTCTGAAATTTACAGTTATATTTTGGGGAATTAATAATATTTCTACCATAAAATTCATAATCAACTTATTTTTACAACTATTTCGAAAAATACTTAAATTATTATTTACAAACCCTACACTATTATCCATGCAAAACAGTGATAGTTTTTTTTCCGTAAATTTTCGCATTTTAAGACATTTAAGTTTGCAATTTTTGGCAAGCAGTAACTACAAGAGCAAGAACTTCGGAGGTCAATTTGAAATCACTGTTCATTAAATCTCTCCAACTTTGTTTATTAGATACCACCGGAAAATGATTCACGATAAAACTAACAGCTAAATCTTTCAATTTCATGTCATTATGCAATTCAGCTAATTGCAAGACATCACACACAATATTAGCAACTTCATCAGCTGATTCAGAAAGTTTGTTTTGCAATATATGAGAACAAGCATTCCGTAACGGTGGTACATCATACCTATCACCTAACGAATACAGTGGCACAACAGTTTCCATTGATCGATCTTCAATCTCACCAGTGTAAAGGTACATTAGAAATTTTTCAAACGGAATCTCAGAACAATCAGTGATGGTAATAGAATTGGATGAGGATTCTAAGAAATCGTGTTCCATCATTTTCTTGAAAACTGGCGAGCGGGAACATAACATGAACTTGTGAGCACGAAGTATGTTTTCACCAATGCGAATTTCTAAATCACACATTTCGCCAGAAGTATAAATAGATCTTAAGTCTTGAATTAACTCTTTCGGATTATCAACATAAGATTTGTTTCTTGAGTCTTCGTTAACTGGGGCTGAAGAGGATTTTTTATGACTTTTGCTTTCTTGAAGCGGCAAAGAAAGTTCAGGCGGGGAAGTAAGATCTTTGGGTAGTTTTAACTGGAGTTTAAAGATAAATTTTTCAGTACTTAAATATGTAGCATATGGTAAATAAAATTGACATATTACCGAATACGAATCTAAACCACATTCCTCCGCAACCATAAGTGATGTCAATGGATAAGAATTTCCATCTAAAGTGAAGACCATAAGACTTACACTGGAAACTTCACTTGAAGCATAACAGTCTCTCAAGTAGAAAATAATAATACTATGTTTGAAAGGGTTAACAAAATGTAAACTCAAATAACAGTCAGAAAACAAACTGCATAACGTACCAAAAGTAGGACTATGATATGAAGATTTCTGTTCTCTTTTACAAAAGTGCCAATTAAATGAAAATTCATTTTCAGAAATTTTTCGACTCTCAAGTTTGCCAGCTTCTTCCATGTTAATTTCCTTGTGTTCACTGAATTCGCATAGTGACAAAAAAAATTTTCATGAAGCATATCAAAATAAAAGAGAAATATAACTGCTTTTCAGTCCATGTACTGAAAAAAGAAAGATAATCTTACATTGAACAATACCACATCACGAGCATGTTTGCGATAAAGTTACTGATAATAAAGCATTGCGAAAGCAATAAGGGAAACTTACCTAAAAAGCTTTAGAAGTTTTTATTATTTATTTTGATTTAAAATAAATAGCGTCTAAAAACTGATGGCATATCTAAAAACTAGCAAATATTTTCTACAAAGCCTAATCCTTCCATTTAACAGCAAGGTAATAAATGAAACAATTGTAAGTATAAGAAAATGGCTATAACACTGGAATGATGCTTTACGCGTAAATAGTGGAGAGTAATTAAAAGATATTTGAAATTTTATTAAGAAATTCCTTTGTGTGATTGAGTAATAAGAAACTAAAATACTCAAACCCCATGTGCAGAGCTGTTTTGGAGAGAAGGTGCTATCCAATTGACACCTTCTCTCCAAAAGCAATTATACTTTTAAAAAAAACTTTACTAAACCCATGATATTTAGTCTCTCTCTCCTTCTCAATTAAAGTTAGAAATAGGATTTTTTTTATAATCTTATATTTAAAAAAAATTGGATTAAAATTGTCTTTCTAAATGCTTTTTCTTCTAAAATCAAAATTGTTAAAGACACTACCAATTTCTGTCTTTGATTAATTTCATTTTTTAGCAACTGAACTAATATAACGAATAGTAGTCAATAAAAGTCCAAAAATAACCTAACAAAGAAAAAAAATGGAAGCAAAGAACAAAAATAAAATTTTCGTTGTTATGGTTCGTAACAATTCAACAAGTCATCTATAGCAATTTCACGTTTCTTTTTATTTTTCTGGCGTTGACTGTTCAGTAATTTTAATTTCGATTCCTTTTCTCAATTCTGCAGAGTATCAACAGAATTTTAAACACCAAGGCCCTGTGTGATTGTAGTTTTCCAGTTTCTGCTGTAGGGGAAGCCCGGGCAAAACGGGACACCAGGCAAGATGGAACATCGCTTTTTCTTCTATGCGTATCACGGTAGCGACTTCTAAAGTGCGATATTGTTGCTCTTAATACGCACAAGTTTTTTCGTCAGTTCACAAGGTGTTACCGAAATTTAAGCATTGTTTTGTTTTTCTTATAACATGTTAAAATATTTTTCCACTTTTGTATGCTGTTATTATTTGTTTAATACATTGCAATAAATTTTTCAAATTTTTGGCACTGTAGTGTTATTATTGTAAAAACATAATGATTAGTGAAAATTAAAATTTATTTGTTAAAACAAATTTGCAGATAATTTTTTTTAAAAAAATTTACTATCCGGACAAGATGAATCGGGTAGGATGGGACAGCCAAAGTAGAATAAAATTACGAAATAAATGATGATATTCAAGTAAAGATGGACCAAGAAGGGCGAAGAAGCGTAAAGAAGTGCATAAAGATAAAAATGGCTTTTATTTTTGTATATTTTGTGATGAAAAATACGTTCAACCTGTTACTGAAGACTGGATTCAATGTTTAGATTGCTTCGAATGGGCTCATGAACTGTGCAGTGCTTATTCCGGTTTCGGCCGCTTCTTATGCAGAAACTGTGATGTTTAGGAACGTTTTTTTGTCGATTATTCTTTTATTCTGACACTAATTTCTGTGATTTTTTCAATATAATTATGTGTCCCATCTTTCCTGGGTAGCCCGGGCAAGATGAGACAATGTTCTATTTTTGTTTATGTTAAGTTATTTTTATTGAACTTCATTATTTATTTATTTTTTGTATGAAATACGTAAGAGCAATGTTCCCATTAAAAGAAAATAAATATGGCTATTAATTCTATTTTTTTTAATATCGTAATTAAATGCAGGAAAAATATCAGTTGGGATACAAAAAGTAATAACGGTTGAAACAAATTTCATTGTGCCCTGAGGGATTCTTTTACTTATGTTAAAATTTTACTTGTAAAGATAATATCTTTATCTTAAATTAACGTAATACTGGTTGTCTGTTGCAAGAATTGTAAGGAATTTTCGGTAAAAGTATGTAGTGGTTATAATTAAAGTGACCCTATACAGACCCTTCTAGAACCTGTTCTACTTATTGAATTTCGATGAAACTTAGTATATACACTGTATGGACCACGAAGAAATGAGTTCTGCAAGTAAAATAAAATAGTTCAAATTACAAAAAGGACAAAAAATCTGTTAGAATCACTAAAAATTTAATTGAATTGTAGAATGCGCTCAACGTATGCTTCATTGACACCGGGTAACTCAGGGAGCGTTTCGTGGTTTCCCTCTCCCTGTAACGAAAATGCGGTTAATTTCAATCAAAAAGTCCTCTATAAAGGTTAGTTTGTCCCAATGCTTGATTCTGGAGTTCCATCGTCTTCTGCATTGGATTTTAAATTACAAGGTTACGGAATTGAGCATTGATAGTCAGAACTCAGAATTGAGTTGACCGTCAAACGCCGGTTATAAAATGAATTACAGTTATGTGATTTAAGCACACTAAAGCGTGTTCAATGGTAGCACGAAGAAATTATCGAGAGATTTCAGTAGCCTTTCGCTCAGCAACCAATCGTATCAGCAACCTTTCATGGCTTTCAACTTATTTAAATTCCTATTTCTTCATCCATAAACACGATTTTACAGGAATCTCCATGACCAGAGCTTGCAGTGATTTAATCGGCTGAACTAGGAGGCCAAGCACAACACAGTTATTTAACTTATTTGAAGCAGTTATTGCCCAACGTGGAAAGTTTCTCCATCTTGAATGAAGACTGTAGTTTGAAAACGTTGCAGTTTTCGTGGAACAGGAATAACCTGTTGTCGAGGGAATTTCAATTTACTGTAACCCGCTCACTCGAGACAGAGCACGTTTTAGGATTTAAAAGGTAAGAGGTTCAAAAAACGGAGAGAAAAAAACGATTCAAGGATGAACAGAATGCAGTGGTTGTTGGTACAGGACAGTATAAGGTGAAGTACCCCATATGCGAAAATTTAGAATCCATCTAAAGAATAGTGCTCCACATATGATTATAGAACTTGCGAAGGCCATGCGTTACCTACCAACTCCTTTTCTCGGCAAAAATTAGCAAGCAAATTCAGAGTGTTTGGTAGTCTTGAGATAACAGAATATCTAGCAGTTCTTATACGGAAACCATTTTTAATTGTATCACAGAATTCTTCGGACAGTCGACAATGGAATCGCGTATTTACATGAACACTTGTTGAAGAATAAGTGGAAGAGGATGCTTATTCAAACATAACAGCCACCGCTTCTTCATCAGACCCTAAACATATACATACGAAATGAAGTTATACATAACTGTGTCTGAGTGATACCTTTTCTCCGAACGTATTTGGATTTTTGAATATCCAACTTTGCGTGTAGCCGTAATCTGGAGAGGATGTTTTTAATAGTGTATTCAGGAGATCAGTCGAAAGTTTGCACCCCTTGATGTTAATTTCATTTTTACGGATTTCGCCATATCTCGGGAGGTTTTCAAGAGGAAATTTCTTACTCATAGTTATTAGCTTTGTTAACCCAAAGATAATTCCACATTAAAAACAAAAATTTTCATTTATTATCATTTATATATAATATCATTTATTATTTTAAAAAATAATGGTAAAAATTTTTTAGAATTGCAAATTATGAAAATTTTTACACCATTTTGAGCTTTGCAATTATAAATGAAAAACAATACCAAATTGAAAGAAATCGGTCGAATATTTTCCAAATACTAGAATTTCATAAAAGTCATTTCTTAAAATTTCATTTCTTAAGAACTATTCGAACAATTTTGTTTATATCTAGGATTTTGTCATTTAAAATAGTACAATTTAAAATAATGTAAGAATTTTTATTCAATCAAATTTTTATTAAGGGGTTTTTTGGGGTGAGATAATTGGCGTCTTATCTCTTAATTTCTGATGAAACTAGGTCGTTTGTATTCGGAAATGAAAGCTCCATGTCAAGAAATTGAAAACTGTTTTTTTAAGTGGCTAGGAAGAGATTATGTATTTGCTGAGGAAGATAAACAATGATGAATGAATACCTGGATTGATAATTACGCTTATTTTTTTTCATTACCATGTAGAAAACTTAAATAAAGGTGTAATATTTATGTATGATTAAAGAAGATGGAATTTCGTAAATGTGCTAAAAGGGCAGAGAAATTCTGACAGGAGGGGGAAAACTTTGGGAGTTAACACCGACCTCCTGTGGCCCGATGATAAACCGACGATGGTCATGTGACCTGCGATGATGAATTAGGTAATATAAAGTCACCCTTTTTAATCATGAAGCTTTGCACTTTTTCGAAAAAATCCGATACTTAGAGCACAAGTTATTCAAGGTTATATCTTCTTCCTTTCTTTTAATTTTCTTTCTTTCTTTTCTTTTTTTTTTTGTTACTCTGCATGCTACGCCCATACTTCATAATCAAAATTATGATTTTATACAACCCTGACTATTATATAAAAAATCTAAACAAATCTAAATTAACAAAATAAAAATTAATATCAAAAAGTTGCAATATGAAAAAGTGGTAAAAGCATGTTCACCTACGTACCATTCTTGCATTAATTTTTAATAAATATCATAGTTTATTGATAAGGAATAACTTTTCAATTTATTTCAGAATGTTCTAGAAAATCAAAAGTACAAGACTATATACATAGCTTAATTGTCATAAATGACTTCAGATAAGACATAAATGACTTAAATTTAATAAAGCTTGAATGAAAATTAAATCATATCACCAAACTAATAATAATAATAATTCAAGAAAACACGAATAATTAGGTTTAATTAAGTTTATGAAAAAAATAGGTTTGCGAGATTTGTTTTTAAAACTATTTAAAAAAAACTTACTTAGGCAAGAGTCGGGTAGCCCCGCTCACTTAAGGAGTATTGCTTATATTTCTGTATAATATT